CAAATTCATTGATGAGTTGTATTTATGTTTTGTTCTTTAGACAGAGTGATGAGCATCTTGATAAAGATGGATGGCATAAATTCTTGAAAGCATGTTTTAAATTAAGGTAGGACTGACTTTTTACATATTTCATAAAGCCTTGGCAGTAAAACTGCCACAAATGTGTTGATATCCATATAATTGTTATTATTAAAAACTGGATCATTGGATAATGCAATTTAAGAATTTTCATTGGCTTAGCCATTATGGTATATGAGCCAATATACCATAATCTTATATCTCTACATGGAAACATTCGGTTTCTTCTTACAAAATAAAGTCAAGAAGATTTGTCTAATATCTTGGGGGCGTTTTTTTTTTAATAAAACAATTATTCCACTCGCGCTTGTTCGATATGAGATGATTATAGCCAACTCGGTGCTACGCGCCCTGTTGGCTATCTATCATCTCATATCCAACGCGCGCTCGTGGAATAATTGCTAAATAGTGAATACTTTGGATCAATGGTACACTGGTACATTTTGAAAACCCTTTGGTCTGCAATGAACACTTTTGTTTACCTTCTAACTCCCAAGATCTCATGAGTAATTCTCCTTATCCTCCACCATACAATTCTGATGATGTTGCTTTGGAGAATTTGATATTGGATCAACTAATAATCTCCTAACTGACATTTTTCTTTATTCTCACTGCTTGTTTGCTTTATGTTGATGTTGTAAGGAAAAATTCTGTCTTGGTCACTCATTGGAGTTCAAGGGTTAAAGGAAAGGTAATATTTCCCCACATACACAAAGTTTAAACAGCCTGGAGACATGTACAACATTTTTTCCTCAACAGAGGCTATGAAAAGGGACTTTGTCCAGAGATGGAACAAATAAGAACAGTCATGTTTACAACAACTGTTTTTGCCTTTGTCTTTGATGGTCGGTTTGGTTATCGAATAGTAGATGACAGCTTTCAACGACACAACCAGTTGACTGTGTATGAATCTGTAATGCACGCTCAGCATCGCTATCATGCATCTGTAGTTGTGGGATTTGTTAAGTATGGATGGCACTGGGGATGGAGAGCTGGTACCTTTGTGGGTGTTTAGAGGTGAGTGGTGTGCGAGATGCAGTGACCTCAGAGTCAACACGCTAGACTCTGCAATGAGAGGTATTAGTTGGAGACTTGGCCAAGGGATTGTGCTGTATTACTGAAGAGACACTTTACTTTTACAGTGCTTCTCTACACCCAGGAGAATAAAGGGGTAGGGGTTAACTGTCAGGGAAGCCTGACAAAATACTGCAGGTTAATTAATCTGGGATGGACTGGCATCCCTTCCAGGTTTGAGTAGCAATACTATTAGTGGCTTAATGCTATGGAGGACCACTTGGCTCAAGTAAACACTTTATTTCTAAAATTTCTAATGTCAAGACTGGATATTCAGAAGACTTGTGGTTAGTTTATTGGACTCAGATTTGAGAGGTCCAAATTCCAACCCAAATCAAACCATTGTGGTGTGTTCCTTGGAAAGATCATGTACCACTGTGTACCTCAAGAGTTCAAACAGGTTGCAGAAAATTGTTAGAAGGGGTCTACCTGCATGCATCCCATCCAGGGGGGGAATGGTAGCACTCATTGGCACTTCTTGCTGTAGAAACAGTTTTAAGTTCTAATGGTGTAAGTTATTGGCTTCAAGAGCAGACTTGACCTTTCTGTTGATAATTATTATCACAATTCGAAGAGCAATATTCAGTTCATTTTCAAAGAAAATATGAGATTATAATGGTCTCACTTCACTTGAATCTTCTTGAATTGATTAGAGAGACCTTATACCGCCCACACCCAACCTCCCCTGAGACAAATTCAAAATTACAAAAATAATCAAAATCACAAGGTGGTCCCTAATAGATAGTTCTATTCTAATATTTAAAGAAATAAAATGTTTCAGGTTTAGTTAAAATGAAAAAATATAGAAATTATACTTTTTTTACATTTAAATGTAGCTTTCTTATGGTAGCACTGGAGGCTTATTGCAACAGACATGATGCACTGAATTTTATGGCCAGTGAAGGTAAGTCTGGAGATTGAAAACACTCTATTTGGTACATACACAATACTTAGTTTGTAAAATTTGTTTTCTCAGAATAAAAAGTCATAATTCGATTAAATCTGTAATGAAAACATTTTGTCACTTTTAAAGCAGATTATCAATCAAGTTAATTAATTTGCCTCATGATAATATTTTGCTTTGAACATAACAGCCTCAACAGGTGTTCTGCATAACATCTTTTCTGGGAGGCATAAAATGGCTGTTGGGGCAGCATTTGATGGGGATTTAAGATTGGCAAGTTTTGTTGAAAACAAAATGAACTGACTGTAGTACTTAACATGATACAGACAATAGAACAAAGTATTTAGAAAAGTTTTATTATTTTTGCCTTGACAAAAACTGTGGGTCATTTACTCTTTCCCCTCTAAGAGTGACTAACATTTAATATCTCCTTACACTGTCCCCCCCCCCTGAATCACACATTGAGGTCAGGAGAATAAAGGAAATGATCACCAACTAAAGATGCTCTTGATTGTTAAACAAATTCTCCTTGTCAGCACCTTAAGAAATGTATGAAGAACAGTATGGAGAATATGCATACTGATATTAGGGTGCAGAGGTTTAAGAATACAACTTATTACATAGCCCCACCCCCTTCCTTTCCTTCTTCTCCATGATGTACATTAATTGAATTAGGATGATTCGCGCAAAAAGAGAAGGAAAAAAGGCAAAACAATACACCTGTTCAGGGGACTATGCAGGGAAACGCAAAACGAACTTCACTATTTAAAAACGAGCAGCAGTGTTTTTAGACTCGATAAAACACGTGCTGCGAGTTTTTTAAATAGCTTCAAAGACTCGTGCCTCTCTAGGGATTTTTCCAAACGTTATATGAATGCATTAAATAGCTTCAAAAACCCGTGCCTCTCTAGGGATTTTTCTAAACGTGATTTGAATGCATTAAAAGTTAACTACATACAGAGGGGAAAAGCGCTCCTTGTTCGGCTGCTGTGAAATTGACATTAATGTCAAAAAATGTTTTTCGCTCATCTAATTCCACATTTCACCAAATGAACTTCTGCGAAAAAAATTTTCGATTTGGATAAAAGGCAATTTTTTATAAGTTTTTGGTCCACCATTCGCACCAGTCTTCCTCCGTTAGAAGTGAGTCGTGACGTAGGTTCAGGAACACGTGATTTTAGGTTGTGACTTATCTGACTTGAAAACAAGTGGGAATTTGCTATAGAGTGGTCACAATATCGTAAGCTCACAATATCGTAAACGACCCGCACTCGACCAGTGTATTCATATGCACTTTAAGGTCAAGTGAGGTTCCTGAACTTACGTCGCAGACATCAGTCACGTGGTCATTTTGAGCACGTTAGTCTTGTGATCAGCGGCAGGGGTCGACCGCAAGAAAATTAAATTTTGAACTTTGTAAAAATTCGTAAAAAAATCGCGTTTTATCCAAATCAAAAAAATTTTTCACCGAGGTTTATTTGGTGAAATGTAGAATTAGATGAGCGAAAAACGTTTTTTGACATTATGGGCGCTTTAAAGTTCAGTAAGCTTTTCCTTGAAATGCCGCCCAAATGCGTGTTTCGAGAACTAAAAAATGCGAAGGAAGAGAAAGATTACTTGGATAGTTGTGTTCCAAGGGCTACTCAGTATGCCACAAAGTGGGCTTAAAAAATTTTTGACGAGTGGCAAAGTTCAAGAAGAATTCAAGACGCCAGCCTGGAGGAAATAGGATTTAGAGTTGAAGTTGAGAGTATTCAAAACTGTACAATTAATTTTGTGAACAATGGGAAATTGTAAAAGAACGAATTTCTGTTCTAATAAGAATTTATCAGGAAAATAAACTTTGTTGTTTACTGCGGTTAATGTTTTTGTATGCTGCCTTTTAGGGAATAATTTGGTATTAAAATTAACGTGAAAGATCTTTAGTGATCATAGTAATCATATTTTCATTAATAATTCATTGATGATTTAGTTGTTTATGAATTGTACCCCAATTTTCCCCGAGACCGAAATCAAAACCCTTTCCGGGCTTTTCAGAATGATTATTCTATACCGGCTATAAAGGTTCATACACGTGATTGATTTGCCTCGTGTGATAGGCTAATCAGCTCATGAAGTATTAATAAGTTTTTGAATGAGATTATTTTAGCAGGTGGATGTGCAACCTCTCCCAGTAAATTGCTCGTAAATCAGTCAGAAAGTTTCGAATCACTCTTTTTTCTTTTTATCAAAGACTTAGTATACAGCAAAGTTTACTAACAATCACAACTATTTTATTGACATATTTTTATATTTCGATTATTTACAATTTCATATTGCATATTTATATATGCAATAACAAAATTTTACCAAATTAAATGTCAAAGAACAGTCTAAACACTCTGTTGGTTTAACTAAGGAATAGGTTCCCAGCTCAGTATGGTGAAAACATTCGAGCAAATAACTATGGCTGTACAATTGCTTTATCTTAGATGTAACATTACTTGAAGCTGTACCACTAAACATAATTAATGATCTGGTACAACTGAATTTTGCATTCTTGTTTTCGTGTTAGACTTGCTATGAAACAAAAGTTTTAAAACTTGTGTAATTATTGACCTAAAAGAGCTTATTGACTTGGCTGACTGACAGATCACACTTAGTGTAACTCTTTAACTCCCAGAAGTGATTAACCTGTAACTTCTTCCTATGATATCCATACATTATTCAGCAAACAGGTAATGAGAATACCAAAACTCATCAGGTAGAAGTTCTTATCTTGATCTAACTCCAAATTCTCGTAACTAATTCACAAAGAAATGTGTAGCAGCCAGAGGGGAGAATTGACCAATCAGATCTTTAGAGTTAAAGGGTTCTAATGCGCAATCTCTAAAATTTGTGATGTGATTGGTTGTTTTGTAGTTCAACTGACCATTCAGAATATTCTTACTGAGAACATACACCACCTGTCCAGAGTAGTTTCATGTTTAAAAGTTGCAAAAAATTAATTCAAATCTTTTAAGGCGTACTGATGTTAGTCTATTCGAATATCTGAATGCGATGGTTCCTAAATTCAGACACAAGTATTCGACCATTGCTGAGCACTGCAACAGAGACAGGAAACTCAAATTTTCCTTTTTTGTCTCCTTTTGATCCAAATTTTGTTATAAACTTTCCACTAAGATCAAATACCTGAACTCTGTCATTCATTGAGTCACAGACCATCAGCTGTCCTGCCTTGTTAACTGATAAATACTGAGGGTAATTGAACTCCCCATCCCCCTCCCCATTCTTTCCAAATCTGTACAAAAAATTACCATTCCTATCAAACACTTTGATACAATGTTCCCAGCAGTCTGACACTATGAGATATTTTTCATACTGTATACAGTGAACGGGATCGGTTAACGAACCCTCACCCCCGAATTTATTTAAATAATGGCCTTTAGGAGAAAACATCTTGATCAATTTGTTCTTTGAATCAGCAATAATTATATTTCCATCGTCCTCTACAGATAAGCCACCAGGATAACACAGCTGGTGATCAAGATTTCCTTTCCCACCAAACTGGCTCAGGTACTCACCCTGCTCACTGAACAACTGAACACGGTGGTTACCATCGTCCACCACTATAATGTTATTGTTTTTACCAAAAGCTATCCCATTAGGATAGTTGAACTTTCCCGGTTTATCACCTTTACAACCAAAAGATCTTAAGTAAGTTCCATCGCTACTGAATACCTGAACCCTGTGGTTATCTTTTTCAGTCACTGCAATTTCATCACGTTCATTCACTGCCACTCCCCAGGGACTGGTTAATATTCCAGAAGACGAACCGAAATCCGTGAGAAGAGCGAGAAACGAGTATTTTTGTCCAAAAGATAACACGGGTCTGAATTGTCTGGGTGAAACTTCAACCGAGAAAGGACTGCCTCCAGCTTCTTCCTCATTGACTTTGACTACTGCCTGGCATCTTCCGGTTTCTTTGGCAAAATAACTGACTTTGTAGCTACCATCGTGGTTATCTTTCACTCGCAC